CTGCAATGGTGGAGGTGGGAAGCTGAGACTCATCTGGAATCATAGCGGTTTCTCTTTAAACCAGCTAGATGAGCCAGGTGTTTTTCACATTCATAACATTGAGTTCTACGTAAATATAACAGACAGAGGAATGGCAGTCAATGAATTGTTCCATGTCTGAGTATTTTAGATCATTGTGATACTAATTATGTCTCTAGATAAGAAGATGACAAGCTTTGTTGTGCAAAGGATGCTGTTCAGCAAGTTTGTGTCATTTTTCTTTGACCGGTTTTACTGCAATGATTAGGTGGCTATAGATACAGCTTGATTAACAATTTTAATACACTTTCATATGGGGTACACTGTTTGGCTTCACCCTATGCTGCTAAATGGGTAAGGGACACACCTAGAAGATGTTCTTTTATTTTTTTAAGAGATGGACGTGACTGGGGAGATCATGGTCGAAAGTTAGAGGGGCATCAAGATCGTTCATGGCAGGGAAATGTGGATGGAGGAATGATGGGACGGGATCATGAGAGATGGCAAGGTACACTTGCTGCTTACCAGTGTGATCGTGGTTTTTTTTCTATGAATTACTGCTGCTGAAATTGTAGCAGTAGTTAAAATTCCTATGGAGCTTTAACAGCATTACCAAGAACGCAAATAAAATTCTGGGAACGAGGTGGCTTTTTTATTAGGAAAACACAGAAGTCTGTATTTTTTTGTCTTTTTGTCTTTTTTTTTTTTTAAATTAGGTGGTGATAGAAGCATGCCTGGTCAGTCAGGACCAGGCCATGTGATGAATCAAGGAGGGATGTCGGGGTGGCCCCGCGGGACCGGAGGAGCGGCGCTGCCATCGCTGCTGGTGCCCGGCCCCCGCGCAGGGCCGGGCTCCGGGGTACCGGCTCTGTGCGCGGGACCCCGGATGCGATCCGGATGTTCCCGCTGCCCGGGCAGTACCAGTACCCCGCGGTCCGCCGCCGAAAGGCGTCTTGGGGCAGTTTCCTCACTGTCGCGGGAGTTGGCCGTGGTTTTCTTGTCTTCAGTTGGAAGTAAAGCCTGTTCAGTTCATCATAAAGTTTCTGTCAATCGTGAAGTTTCCGCGGCAATAACCGCCTGAGGGTACTCTTGAAGCTAATTCGTGAAATGCTTACACCTAAGGCAGAAATGGAAATACTTTCCTGTGTTGCTGTACTTGTTCGAGTGCTCCAGAAATATTATTTTTGGAATCAAAATAACTCAGGATTCGGGCATCTCAGTCCAGGTCCTGAACTCTTTCAGGAAGACCAGATTGCTTCACAATTGGCAGTGGTTTCCAGGAATGATTTTGTAAAGCCTATGCAGAAGTACGCACAATTAAGAAAAACGTCAAATAACATAAATATGGCTCCTGAAACCCTTGTCCGGTTTCTACAAAAATCTTGTCAGCCTAGCATTTTGTCAAAATTACTGTAAAAGTAGAGCCCTGTACGTTCACATGCATGCACAGAAATCCCAGCTTACAGCTGAGCACCTCTTTGTTTACCACTTACAAATTAAAACTGCTTTGCTTTTAACAAATTCTTGCAGCTTCCAGACGTAGGGTGGGGAACGCGCTTCAGGAAGCTGTTGGGTTTTGTAATAATCAACTCAGTGTTAACTCAGTATTGAAGAGGTTGTTACTTTTTTTTTTCCTTCTCCTGCATGTCCAGTATAAAGAAATGCTGAACAACAGCAACTGTTTCACCACAGAAGTGTGATGATTTTTTTTTTTTAAATTACTCATTTGTTTCTTCAGAGCACGAGCTGACAAATGTTACTACAGTTCATAGAGGTCTGAGTTGACAGTTTAAACTAAATTAGCCATACTTGGTGGAATATCTCAGCAGGAGAATTAGATCCCACTAGTTTATCCACATATGGATTTTTATCTTCCAAAAAAATCAGGTGTCGTTTTAAACTGAGACATGGATTCGTCCACATTAAGGTGTTAATGCTTAAAACTACTCACTCACATTCTGCTCACTTGTGAGTGCAAAAAAAAAAACCAGCTGAAAACTTTGCAGGCTCAGTGCAAAACATGCTAAGATTCAACCAAGGATAAAATTTTATCTCCATTGAAGCAACAAGATTTTTTTTTTCCCCAAGGGGAGGGCAGGGTGTTGTCTTTTGTGTGCTCCTTGAAAGTGAAAGATGTCAAGTAACAGAAGAGTTCGTTCTGGTTACGCGCTGAATACTGATGAGAAAAACCACAGTCCATTAGTTAGATCTATATATTTATTTTTTTTTAGTTTCTTTCTTTTATTCTCCTTGAAACTATTGTTCTTACTTCTCGAACTGATGTTTTTGTTTTATATGCTTCGTGTAGATGAATGGACAGATGTGGACAGGAAACGAGGTACTGTAATCTTCTAGCTGCATGCAGTAGACGAGCACCCCCTACATGCACACATGAGGCTCATCGTACGTGACCGCACTGTATGCTGTTCCTGCAGCCTTCTAGGCAGTGTCAAGGATGAATAATACCACTCACCTGCTCATTAAAATGCACGTTATAGATCTTCGGAAAAAATAGACAATATCAAAATCGTACAGCTTCAAAAATGAATTGCTCATTTAACCAAGACTGTAAATAGATCACAACTTTTTATCAGAGCCGTCTTTCTAACCAAAATGATATTTGTATTTTTCCAGCATCGTGGTAATGCAAGCATATAATTGTGTGAGCATTGTGAAGGTTGTTTTTCTGCTGAAATGCAGGAATATTACGTGTACTGCATTTTTCAAAGAGTTTTTGTAATTCGTTGCTTAGGGTTTTGGCCGGTGAACTCCAGGAAGGATTTCAGGCATTTCCATCCGAGCTGCTTACCCCTCCCTGCGGCGGCCAGCACCCTTGCAGCAGAGCGAATCCCAAAGGAGCAGGTGCTCACACGTGAGCCAAGCTCATCTTGGCTGAGCTTATCCCCAAGGGCGGGTTTGAGCTGAGGCGTCGGGCTCTGCCGTGGAGCAGCTCAGGTGTGAGCGTGCGATTCCTCTGGGCTCGGCCTTGACACGGTGGCCTCCAGCAAAGGGGATGGCAAAATAAATCCCCTAAACTATTGCAGGTTTTTTTGCAGAACTGCCAGCGTCTTTTTGAGCAGCCCTTTTTAAAGTGAGATCAGGGTTATGATTAATTATTTTTTCAAAATAAGCATTGTTTGTAGGTTTTGAATATTTGCTGAAGGTAAATAACTGATATCCTGAAGTTTGCCCCAGCTTTTTTTTTTTTGCTACCATTATGTGCTGTTTCCAAGAACACTTTTACAGCATTTAACATCCCAGAAGTCTCCAAGATTCCCCTTTTATCACACCCAAAACGATGAGGAGTTGTATGGAAGCCTGCTTTATGGTGTTTAGGTTCTAGTGGCACAGAGTTGACCCATCAGCTTCTCTTGTGAGAGAGAACCGTTTGCCAGGGAACGGCATCTCTGGAGGGTGACAGAGCAACCGGCTATTGCCGATGGAGCCATGACGAGGCGTCTTTGCCTGCCTTTGGCCTGGTTACGATCCATAAACCCACTGCAAGTAGAACATGTGACCGTTTTGAACTCGTAACGTTCCCTCTGCTGCCTTCGGTGTCCTCCGAGAAGCACGAGCGTCATTCAGGCGTCAAGGCTCCAGTCTCATGTCATGCATCCGAGCCATGTTACGTGGCAGCGCACTACTCGTTGGAATGTGTCTGTTACCAGTGACATGGCACGTGTAGGCGAAAGCCACCGTAAACCCTCAGCTTCTCTTCCGTCCATCGCATTGTCTATACTTGGTTTCCCCCTCCCCATCCCTGCTGATGAAACCCCTCTCTGCTAAATTGCTTTGATGCTATGTTGCTTGGCGTGCCGTTGTCCCTGAGCTGACGCCTTTCTCTGTTATCTCCCCCTGTTAGAACGGCCTAAGTCTCTCCCTAGGGACTCCCTGTGCTCGAAGATCTCTTTGCTGTGTCGTTATCAAACATACCATGTGAGATTTGCCCTTTACCGTAATTTTTTTTTTAATGTCTTTCTGAGTTCTTTTTATAGTCAATACAAGAGGTTTTAATTTCAGAAGATAATCTGTGTAAGGCTGGGTGTGTGGTTAACACAGATCTGCGATTCCGTTGAGAATATCTGCCAGCCACAGTCGGTGCGCTGGGACGTTGTCTGTCTCCTGACAGTTTTGGTTCTTAGCGCCTCTCCAAAGACAGAGGAGAAGCCTCTGTGTGGGCAACATACACAAGCAAATTAAAAATATTTTTCTTGATAGCAGTATAAGGCAAAAATTCTTATTTTTGTCATAATTGATTACTTGCAAAATGAAATATAAACTAACACATACTAACACTAATATATTTGATTTCCTCCACTGAAAAAAGCGAGGATTTTTGCCTCACTGTAAG